ATTAAGACATTTTATAAAAATTAAGAATATGTCAAAATGACATTGACATTTCAAACCGGAAGTTGCTTATATCTCGAGTAATATTGGAATTAAACGTATCATGTTTGGACTCATTTTAAAGGATTTTTCACGACGATTACAAATATGTCAAAATTGACGTTGACATTCTTAACCGGAAGTTGACCATAACTTCATTAATATTGAAGATAAATATGTCGTGTTTGTACTCATTTTAAAGGATTTTTAATGTAGATTGCAAATATATCAAAATTGAGGTTGACATTTGACACCTGAAGGTAGTTGTCATATAATAAACAACTGGACAACTTCATGGTGTACTTTTATGATGTATTCTTTATTAAAAAAACCTTTAAAATTTGTCAAAACATGACGCATTTATTTCAAAAAACAAAAAAGTTAGAATAAAAGACATTAAACCCGAAGTTAGCAACAATGAAGATAGCAATTTAATTTTTAAAAATTAATACCAACCTCAATTTTTTATTTTTTTTTAATATATTTTTTTTTGTGACAAATATTAAGACATTTTATAAAAATTATGAATATGTCAAAATGACATTGACATTTCAAAGCGGAAGTTGTTTATATCTCGAGTAATATTGGAATTAAACCTATCGTGTTTGGACTCATTTTAAAGGATTTTTCACGACGATTACAAATATGTCAAAATTGACGTTGACATTCTTAACCGGAAGTTGACCNAGATTTAATGAGCGTACATCCGAAATCAATAGTTTCCGGTTATCTACAAACATCGATTTCATCTTGCCGAGATGACTCCGATTGCGAATATCTAGATTGTAGAGGACGTTGTAATTTATTAACGAAAAAATGCACTCAAGTCACTAATAATAACCTTCAAATAGTTTGCGAGAAAATTTTTTTAGGATGGAGAATGTCAAAGACGATTTTGGTGCCGGGTTTGTTGATGGTGCCGCATACCCCATCGGAATTAGCTGCGATTTTGAGACAATGTTCTAATCCTGATATGGAATTAGGGAAACCGAGGACTGCCGCATCGGAAGATATCAAAAAAAGATTGTATAATACTTTGATTGAAATGGAGGAGGTTGTTAATGGGGAAATGGAATGATTTAAATTCGCCGATTGTGATTTAAAAGGCCTAAAAATGATGCCAGTGTGTTACGAACTAGAAATATATTTATATTGCTGATGATGCGTTAAAAAAATGTGGGGAAATAGGGTTTTGTTACGTTTGTAATTTTTGTAAATTGTTTATAAGTTGTGATTATCAGAGCCCGGACAGTTTAGGAAAATTATCCTAAAACGCCTCCCACTCCAGTCTCAATATTCAATCGAAGCGTGCGAAGCTGTCGGATACGTCATACCTTATGTCACGAAATAAATTATAATTAATTTATTAATTATAAATTTAATAAAACCAAAAATGAATAATTCAGTGCGTATCTTTATATTATTTTTATTAATTCATTAGTTAATGTTGCGCTGCAAGTTCTTCGCTAAGGTACGCTCATCGCTCTTCGAAATTCAATTTTGAAGAGTAACTTAAAAGGTGTCAAAAGCGACAACAACGTACTTACGTCGTTGTCATGGAAATCGTTTCGTGTAGAGGGGCGCACTTTTCCTAAACTGTCCGGGCTCTGGTGATTATAAATAAAAACAAATAGAAAATAACCTCACTTTTAATTGATAGTTCTTATTAAAATTTTTTCATCCGTGTGAAGTTAGCCATAAATTCCATCCATAAAAGAACTTTATTGTTTGTGTATTGATTTGAATGATTAATAGCTCATTAGAAACATCTCGTAGAGTAGAGCCTAACATAGTTTAAATTTCGTGTAAAACAGTAAAATACATATTTATTTGCTGTTTGTGATGAGTCTATATCTGAATCAGTTTCAAAAGCCCAACTTTGAATTTCTAGATCAACACTTCATCATTGTACCGCACAAGCTCTCCACCAAGAAACTGGAGATATAGAGTGGATTCCAGAGGAAGCTTTAGGACCAAAAACGGCGTTACCGGGGGGTGCAAGAGGTGCACTGCACTCAAGCGCCGACTAAAAGAGGGCGCCGGCGCCTTTTTAATGTTTTCACCAACAATNATTCAGTGCGTATCTTTATATTATTTTTATTAATTCATTAGTTAATGTTGCGCTGCAAGTTCTTCGCTAAGGTACGCTCATCGCTCTTCGAAATTCAATTTTGAAGAGTAACTTAAAAGGTGTCAAAAGCGACAACAACGTACTTACGTCATTGTCATGGAAATCGTTTCGTGTAGAGGGGCGCACTTTTCCTAAACTGTCCGGGCTCTGTTTATAACTGAAGTTAATCTAGTGTTGGTCACTTTTTCGCACTTTCTTTTTATTTTTAACGTGTTTTTGGGTCATTCTTGATTTTTTCTCAAGTTTCCTAATATTTCGAATCGTCATGTAAAGTTCAATTGTCTTGCCATCTTTTTTATAGTCTTCTGCTGATTTTCTGTCCATTGCTATACGTGGCAGTTTATGTTTGCCCTTTTCTCTTCTAATCTAGGATAGTTCTTAAAGTTTTCATTTGCTGTAATGTATTTTGTAGTTCTGAGTTCTTTTGCATTCTTGTTTATGTATGAGATGTATTATGTTGACTCCATAATTTTGCCATCCCACTAAATAGTAAGGTGTACTCTCCATATTTTGATGATCCTTAACGCCGTTTTGCAATCTTCATTTAAATTATTGAAGTATTTAAATGGAAACAAGAAAAAATTGGTATGATTAAAAATTTCGTATTCAATTTTATTTCTAATTTAACAATTTCATAGAAACTATTCAATAAATAAGTAAAATTAAAGAAAAAGATCTGTACAAGTTTATCTTAAAATATAACAAAAAATATCACAAAAGATTAAAGTTTAGTCGTTTCGTTTTTCGTCACTACTTTATCTTTATTTTTCAAATCTTGGTTTTTATCGCTTTGATTTGCTTCTACATTGTTTTTATTGGTTTTGGTGAAATTTGAATGATTTGGATTGTTCCACCATTGCTCTTCGCCACTACCAAAAAGAACGAACACCACGTTCGAGGTTAATAGCACCCCCAACGTGATCCAAAAAACTAATCTCCACTGCGATAATGAATGCTAGAATAAAAAATAATTACTTTTTCTTTCTTTTCTAGGTTATGCTGAATACTTACATCTTCTGTTAAAGTTCCAATTAAATATGGAGTAATCATCCCGCTAATTGCCCCAATACCATTAACAATCGCCATCAAAGTTCCTGCATAATTCGGAGATAAATCCAAAGCGTTCACTTTCATCCCACAATAAAAGGTGCCCATAAAACCCATCGCTATGGTAAATAACAAGACCACGGTTACTCTATCGCAGCCAGCATAAGAAGCCCCAATTATAAAGATTCCAGGACCAATTGAAGCTAAAAAATGAAATGTAAGTACCCCTTTTTGTTGTCTTTTTTTGTGCTTTACCTATTGATGTAAAGAATTTCCTTGCAAACGTAATCTTCATGTAATTCTTTTGGATAATGTGGTCACATAACCACCCGGAACTTAACGAGATAATCCACATAAACAAATAAGGCAAAGATGACCAAAACCCGTTCTCTTTTACTTTAAATTTTAATATATCAGACATATATTTGGGGAGATCAGTAACCATAGCGAAAAATCCCCAATCGTGACCAATTTGGGCGGCTACCAAAGCCCATAAAGGTATCGAAGTTAAAATGGGTTTCCAAGGGATCTTTTTATCCTTATTTGAAATTGTAACTAAAAAAAATTAATTATTTATTTACAAACATAAGAATGTGTTTAAAAAGTTTTTACCTAATTGTTTCCTAAGATACCGTTTTTCATCCTCGGTGATAAAAGGATGCGATTCTGGGTCATTGTAACAAAGAAAAGTCCAAAAAATGAACCAAACGATACCGAAACCGCCGAATAAATAGAAAACGCTCGCCCAATCTTCCGTAACGTGAATAATATAACCGCTTAAAAAGTTTGAAACGATCGTCCCTATTTGACTTCCGGCGAAAACTAAGGTACCAATTTTTGATTTTTCACTAGGAGGGACCCATTTCCCCAACAAAGCGTTTAAAGCGGGAAAAGTTGTACCCTAAAATTATATAATGTCACTTTTTTATAACTAGTGATGTAATGATTTCATTATATCACTTAGTGATGTAATGATTTCATTATATCACTTAGTGATGTAATGATTTCATTATATCACTAGTGATGTAATGAATTACCAGAATAAGTCAAGTTTTGAACTAAAATTGCTTTTTTTAATGGAATTAGATAAAATTACTATTTATTTACCTCCCCAGCTCCTTCTAAAACCCTCAAAACAATTAACCATTTATAATCGCCTAAATAAACAACGGCTGGTGTTAAAATCGTAAAAATCGCTGTTGATAAAATTCCAAAACCCAAAGAATGTTTTCCGCCGTATCTTTCAGCTAAAATTCCTCCCGGAAGATGGGTGATTACATAACCCCAATAAAATGAGCTTAAAATTAAGCCTTGCGTTGTTTCGTCCCAGTTATACAATTTATCCGGATGCTAAAAAAACATTAATATGTAATAATCGATGTCAATTAGAAATGTTAATGAGATTATTCTTACTGTAACCGTTCCTGTGTTTGTAAATGTTCCGTCCGGATTTGGGCACGAATCGATTATATGTTTTTCGGTTCGATTTATTGGAGCTACCATTTCTGTAATTGCTACGGATAATGTCGTTCGCATCGTATATGCGTTTATTACAGCTAAAAAACCCATTATTCCTAATACGTAGCGTTGGGGTATTATAAAACCTGGAAAAAAAAAATTATTAATAATTTGTAACTGCCTTAAAATAGATTTTTAATCTCAAACAACATCTTTTACGTGTGTTAAACCCATATCCTTAACTTTTTATCCTGTCTGTTTTATCAATATCACCTTATATATATATACCTTATCATCCATTGGGCAGCTTTCACTGTCATCTTAAACATCTCTCAATATTCTCTCAAACAACGATCAGCATCGTTTTGTGCAATAACATCTTGCTGGCCATTAAATAACATCAGCCTTCCCTCCATATCGTCCTTGTCAAAACATGGTTCTTCAAACATCCTACGATACAGTCTGTGAAAATCTTCAACATCGTGCCTAGATGACACTTACTTAACACACATTTACATCATCCCGGTCATCCCTCAATATCAACGGTTTCAAACATTCTTCAGTATTATCTATGACAACCCTTAATCTTATGTCTTAACATCATCCTGAATATTTATCTCCGATTTCTAGATTTTATTCTTGGGATTTCTGCTCCTTCGTTTACAACAACGAAATATTGAATGGCAAAGTTTAAGCAAGATCTTTTGACTGCATAAAAACTTTTTTCAAGACATCTTTTCGCATCAACCTTAGCATACCTTAACATCGTCTATGCCATTAAATAAACATCGCCTGTATATCCCCCAATATCATTCCTGGAACCTCTTAACATTGTCCCAATTGTTTGTTAATATCCTTTCTTAACATCACCTTGAACGGCATTTAATTTCGACTCTGGCAGCCTGGATATCGTCTCAAATATCCTTCAATATTATCCAAAGAACCTCTCCATATCGTTCCAAACATACCTCAATATTATTTCTGGTTAACATGTTTTAGCTAGAAATCAATATCATCCTGGTGATTTCTCGGTAGCATTATTCCAGACACTTCTTCAAATCGTTCCTCTAATTGCTTGATATCATCCCTATGATATCGATATCAACCCAAACATCGTTTAATTTCGTCTCTGGCAAATTCGATATCATCCCAGGCACTTCTCAGTATTGTCTTTCCTGAAAATCCAGATTTTTAGAAATTTTTACCCAGTTCACCCCAAAGCATTTTGAATAATATCTAACTCATATCTGAGGTTGCCCAGGATTATTTGAAGATTTTTTTAAGAATTTCCAGAGATATTTAGATGATTTCCAAGAATTTTTAAGGATTTACAATGATATACAGAGATTACTGAGAATATTTAGGAGTTTCTAAGTTTATTAGGGTGTTCTAGGACTTACTACGCATTCAAATTCAAAAATTTCCATAAAATTAATAACGATTTTCAATAGTACTCGAAAATCCAGATTTTTAAGTATTTTTACTCAACCCAACCCAAAGAATTTTCAAGCATTTTTACTTATATCCAAGGTTGCCCAGGGATATTTAAAGATTTTTTTAAACATTTCCAGAGATGTTTAGCAGATTTCCAAAAATGTCTAAGGATTCCAATGATATACAGAGATTACTGAGAATTTCCCTTAATAGTGATCTGGCAACCCACAGATACGATAATTTTGAAGTTCCAGTTTCGTGGAATCAAGTTGGGCAGCTTCCTTTTTCACTCCAGATACAATAAAGAGTGTAGTTCCTTAACATTCGTAATAATAGTTCCAGTAACTCCAGCTCCACCCTTTCTATCACCAACCTCACAAACCTTAATGTTCACCTCACGTCTACTCTGATTCACTATTTCTGTAATTGAAAGACAGAAAGCCATAATATCTTCTGTATTCTGTACCAGATGCTTTTCCTCTGTCATCAAGAATTGTCTAGTCTTTCTGTCTAACTCGATTAATATGGCTTCCTTCTCTCCTTTCTGTATGGTAATTGTTAAATTTTCTATATGATCATCAATGCTTTTGTCCTAACAACAAATGTGGGAAGTAATGCTTTTGCCATTCCTATATCTTTAGAAAACCACTTTTTTGTTGATTTCTTTCAAATTTCGAGCTAAGCAGAATATTTGATTTTAAATTAATTAGAACTAACTAATCATCTTTTCTGTCTTTCGTTTTTCTCGTCGTTTTTGTGGTATTTCTGCAAATTTTGAGTTGTGCAGAACTTTTGATCAATTTAATTTGAAGTATTCCTCGTCCTTAAAGTCTCGAATAAGCACAGAAGATTTTTCTTGGTTAAATTGATTATCATTTTATTTTTTTCCAATAAATTTTGAATCAAAAAATTAGTGTCTCGTTAAAATCTATTAACAAATCTTGCAAAATAAGTAAGGAATATGATTACAAAATTGATAGTCAATTAAAATCGACGATTTTTTTTAATCAATATGAAATGATCCAAAAAAACACGTTAAAAATAAAAAGAAAGTGCGGAAAAGTTACTAACTTCAGTTATAAAACTTCTATTACATGATAACTAACTTCAGGTTTAACATGTCAACCTTAATTTTGACATATTTGTAATCTTCATTAAAAATCCTTTAAAATGAGTACAAACACGACATATTTATCTTTGATATTAATGAAGTTATGGTCAACTTCCGGTTAAGAATGTCAACGTCAACTTTGACATATTTGTAATCGTCGTGAAAAATGCTTTAAAATGAGTCCAAACACGATAGGTTTAATTCCAATATTACTCGAGATATAAAGAACTTCCGGTTTGAAATGTCAATGTCGTTTTGACATATTCATAATTTTTATAAAATGTCTTAATATTTCTCACAAAAAAAAAATATAATAAAAAAAATAAAAAATTTAGGTTGGTATTAATATTTAAAAATTAAATTGCTGTCTTCATTGTTGCCAACTTCGGGTTTAATGCTTTTTATTCAAACTTTTTTGTTTTTTGAGATAAGTGCATCATGTTTGGACTCATTTTAAAGGTTTTTTNCAAAGCGTTTAAAGCGGGAAAAGTTGTACCCTAAAATTATATAATGTCACTTTTTTATAACTAGTGATGTAATGATTTCATTATATCACTTAGTGATGTAATGATTTCATTATATCACTAGTGATGTAATGAATTACCAGAATAAGTCAAGTTTTGAACTAAAATTGCTTTTTTTAATGGAATTAGATAAAATTACTATTTATTTACCTCCCCAGCTCCTTCTAAAACCCTCAAAACAATTAACCATTTATAATCGCCTAAATAAACAACGGCTGGTGTTAAAATCGTAAAAATCGCTGTTGATAAAATTCCAAAACCCAAAGAATGTTTTCCGCCGTATCTTTCAGCTAAAATTCCTCCCGGAAGATGGGTGATTACATAACCCCAATAAAATGAGCTTAAAATTAAGCCTTGCGTTGTTTCGTCCCAGTTATACAATTTATCCGGATGCTAAAAAAACATTAATATGTAATAATCGATGTCAATTAGAAATGTTAATGAGATTATTCTTACTGTAACCGTTCCTGTGTTTGTAAATGTTCCGTCCGGATTTGGGCACGAATCGATTATATGTTTTTCGGTTCGATTTATTGGAGCTACCATTTCTGTAATTGCTACGGATAATGTCGTTCGCATCGTATATGCGTTTATTACAGCTAAAAAACCCATTATTCCTAATACGTAGCGTTGGGGTATTATAAAACCTGGAAAAAAAAAATTATTAATAATTTGTAACTGCCTTAAAACAGATTTTTAATCTCAAACAACATCTTTTACGTGTGTTAAACCCATATCCTTAACTTTTTATCCCCTAAGACACTGTTTCATCCGGAAAGTCATGATATAACTTAAAATATACAAGCTGCGAAAGCATAAAATGAGGTTGTAAGGGGTTTAGATCATCTGGAATAACACTTAATGTCGGCTCTAATAATACATAGTCCTTGACATCCCTTAATGTTGTCTTTATTACTACTTCAAGCATCCCTCAATATCACCTTGGGAAGCTCTCACTGTGATCTTAAACATCCTTCAATATCATCCCTACGATACCACAACGTCATCCTGACAGCCCTCAATATCGTTATCGACATCTCCCATCATCTCTAACACACCTCAACATCATCCTGATCAGCGCCTCTTGTCATCTTTGTCAACCCTAGAATCATCTCTATCTTGGACAGCTATCACTGTCAACCTTAAACATCTCTCAATATTCTCTTAGACAACGATCAGCATCGTTCTGTACAATAACATCAACCTGGATCACCTATCATTCCTCAATATCATACTTTGGATTTCCCTCCATATCGTCCTTGTCAAAACATGCTCCTTCAAACATCCTCTTATTAACATCATCATTTTATTCTTGGAATTTCTGCTCCTTCATTTACAACAATGAAATATTGGATGGCAAAGGTTAAGCAAGGTCTTGTGACTGAATAAAAACATTATCCAGGATACCTCTTTACATCAACCTTGGCACATCGTTCTGTGTATCGCCCAATTTAATTCCTGGAACCTCTTAACATTGTCCCAATTGTTGTTTCTCAATATAGTTTCTAATAAATCAACATCACCCCGAATGGCAATTCATTTTGACTCTTTGATATCATCTCAAATATATTAATATTATTCAAAGAACCTCTCAATATCGTTTCAATAACATCTTATTACCCACAAATCAATATCGTCCCGATGATCTCTCGATATCATATCATGCCTATGATATCGACATCAACCCAAACAGCGTTTAATTTCGCCTCTGGCAATTTCGATATCATATAATATCCCTTAATATTGTCTCTGACAACCCACAGCATTATTCTGGAGATCTTCCTGTAACACTCTTGTTCGTTAGATTTCCTCCTTCTGGGCTACGTCAATTATAAGGTTGTTTATTTAATGTAATTTATTACTGGAATTACGATTATTTTGAGATTAGGCTGGGTTGTCGTTTACAATAACGAGTGAATTGTCTTAACATTCGAAATAATAGTTCCATAAACTCCAGCTACACACTTTCTATTACCAACCTTAATGTTTCTGTCCAACTTGTTTAATATGGCTTCCTTGTCCACTTTTTCTATGGCAGTTGTTAAATTTTCTATATGATCATCGATGTTTTTGTCCATGATGTTCGGACACCCTCAACGGATTGCCTCTGACAACCCTCAACATCATTCCGGACATCTCTCAATATCACTCTTGATACAGCAGTTAATAAATAAACATCGTCTCAACTGTCCCTTAATATCGTTCCTGGCATTTTTCAGTATTATCTCTGGCAACCGTCAAGATCGTCCTGAACATCTCTGTCTATCTCAATATTGGTACTTAGAATCTTCCGAGTCATCAACCAACATTGTCCTGGCCTTTCCTTAATAGAATTTTAGATCGCACTCATTGTCATCTATGATAAGCCTAGAAATAGATAGCACTCAATGTCGTCTCGGAAACCTCAATATCATACCAAACATCACTCAGTATTGTCGCTGACAACTCTTAAGATCGTTCCATACGTCTCTCTATCAAACAATATCATCCTGACTATAGTCTGTTTTTAAACTAGGAGGAGCATTTTAAATTTGTCACCAGATTGACCTTGCACGTGATTGGTTGAATGCGAGGAAGGTTCACATAGGCAATTTTGAATGTGACGGTTAAGTTATTAATCAATCGACAGTTTCAATGAAGTCCAGCTTATATCAACATTGTCTAGATTTTATCATCATTATCATACTTGACATCTCTTAACATAGTTTATGGCCTTCCACAACATTCTCCAAATATTATTTTCAATATCGTTTTTGACATTAACCACAATTAAAATCCTAATTCCTTTTCCTCAACATCATTGATAAGATATTGTCCTCGAACAATATGATTCCCAACATTTATCAATATCTATATATCAATTTAGGATTTGCTGAAGCAAGCAAAACAAAAATACTTTCACCTTTATGTATAGCTTTTATGTATAGCAAATTCTGGGTTACAAAGAATTTCTCATCAATTTAGTTTGAAGTACATCTTTTTCCTCATCATATCTAAAACAGCAAAAGTTGTTTAGAAAACCAGTTTTTTTTTTGGATTTTTTCAAATTTCGAGTTAAGCAGAATATTTGATTTTAAATTAATTAAACTAACTTTTCTGTCTTTCGTTTTTCTCTTCGTTTTTGTGGTATTTCTGCAAATTTCGAGTTGTGTAGAAGTTTTGATCAATTTAATTTGAAGTAAATCGTATTCCTCGTCCTTAAAGTCACAAATGAGCACAGAAGATTTTTCTTGGTTAAATTGATTATCATTTTATTTTTTTCCTCTAAAAATCTATTAACAAATCTTGCAAAATAAGTAAGGAAAATGATTACAAAATTGATAGCCAATTAAAATCGACAATTTTTTTTAATCAATGTGAAATGATCCAAAAAACACGTTAAAAATAAAAACAAAGTGCGGAAAAGTTACTAACTTCAGTTATAAAACTTCTATTACATGATAACTAACTTCAGGTTTAACATGTCAACCTCAATTTTGACATATTTGTAATCTTCATTAAAAATCCTTTAAAATGAGTCCAAACATGATACGTTTAATTCCAATATTACTCGAGATATAAGCAACTTCCGGTTTGAAATGTCAATGTCATTTTGATATATTCTTAATTTTTATAAACTGTCTTAATATTTGTCACAAAAACAAAAAGATAATAATAAAGATCCAAAATTTAAGGTTGGTATTAATATTTAAAAATTAAATTGCTATCTTCATTGTTGCCAACTTCGGATTTAATGCTTTTTATTCAAACTTTTTTGTTTTTTGAGATAAGTGCATCATGTTTGGACTCATTTTAAAGGTTTTTTAATGAAGATGACAAATATGTCAAAATTGACGTTGACGTTTCAAACCGGAAGTGATTGTATTTCCATTAATATTAAAGTCAAATATGTCGAGTTTGGACTCATTTTAAAGGATTTTTTATGAAGTTGACAAATATGTCAAAATTAAAAGTTGAAAGTTCGAACTTTTTGTTTTTTTGAGATAAATGCGTCAAGTTTGGACTCATTTTAAAGGTTTTTTAATGAAGATGACAAATATGTCAAAATTGACGTTGACGTTTCAAACCGGAAGTGATTGTATTTCCATTAATATTAAAGTTAAATAT